CAATTGTATTTTCAATTTTACATCATTTAATTTTAGATTTGATTCCTTTTCCTAATAAAACATCAGGGAGAAAGTCAGAAGTCACGCGACACCAGGCTATAGTCCAACAGGTTTATTTGAAATCACCAGCTTTCGGAGCTCTGCTCCTTTGTCAGGTGAAGTGTTCTTCCAGTGAAGGATTCCTTCACAAACCCCAAGATGTCGGCAGCGAGCCCAATGGGACAACCAATGAACTGGAACAGTCGACAGAGAGATCCACAGTACAATGACCAAAGCAGAAAGAGTTGAATTGGACCCCTCTGGAAGGCCTAGGCTCGAGCCATCAGGAGGGGCGTCAACACCATATTCATCAGCCATGCTCATAAGATGGTGCAGAACATCACTTAGTCACAATGTGACGTCATCCATGCTCTCAAGACCAACCACAACATCATTATCAAACCAGAAAACAAAAGAGAAGCTATCATTGTACAGAGTAGAACACTTCGCCTGACAAAGGAGCAGCATTCCAAAAGCTTGTGATTTCCAATAACCCTGTTGGACTACAACCTGGTGTTGTTTCACTTCTGACTTTGTCCCACTCTAGTCCAACGCTGGCACCTCCACATCCCATTTTATTATATACCTGTACCAGAAAAATCAACATGAAGATTAAATCACTTCTTTGGGTCAGGCATGACTTTGAATTGTTTTATACAAAGATGGGGAAACGTTCTGATCTCCTAATGCTGGATGTTTATGTATACACACATCAGGATGTTCTGGTTGGTGTTTTTACAGAGCTGTTCCAGCAGCAATCTATAAATCTGCATCCCGGAAGAAAGCTGCGAGGCAGGGTAGAGCAGGAAGGACACAAAGTTTCTCCCGTCTGGTTCGGTTTCTATTCCTTTTACTCTTGAACCACACCTCCATTGAGGGTTTTTTTTTCCAAATATAGCCCCAGGAAATTGACACTCGATTTGATTTCCTCTGTCTTTGAAGGACGTAAATTTTTCGGCAGGATTTTATAGGTTGCTATGGTAATGTGTCCTTCTTTGTGGTGATTAACCAGGTGTAACTCCCAGGCTTTTATGTTTCAGACTGTAGGGAGCCAATTGTCAATCCCTTTTGGAAGTATTGGATGGTTACAGCACAAAAAGAGACCATCTGGCCCATCTTTTCCCTTTCAAATAATGATCCAGTTTCCTTTGATTACCATGATTGAGTAGGCCTCCCGCACTGTTTCAGTCAGCGATCTGCAGTGCACAAAAAAACATTTTGATCGTGTCACCGTTCCTTCTTTTGCCATGGCAAATTGTAGTCACCTCCATACCCTCTGTGAAAACCAAATCTCATCTGAACTTTCTCTTCTCCAGGAAGAGGGCTTCCAATTTCTCCAGCCATGATACAGTTCTCGTAAATCACTCTGTATCCTCTCTTATGCATTAAGATGTGGTGCTCAGACTTGAATACAATATTCTATTTGACATCAAACCAGTCTTTTATCATGATGTCCTTTCATTTACACTCTGAAGCCTGTACTTATAAAAGCTGGGAACATCTACTTAATTAACTGCTCTCACAACTCGTCCTGGTTTGTGCACATCTACACCCAGGTCCATCTGCTCCACAGCCCAGTTTGGAATTATATCTTTTATGTTGTCCCTCTGCATCCTTCCCACCAACATGAATCAATTCCCACCTTTGTGCATTAAATATCATCAGCCCAAGGTCCATCTAATCCACCAAAGTATCAAATACTTTTTGAAGCTCTACACTATCCTCCTCACAGCTCTCAATACATCCAACTCTTGAGTCACAGAGTCATACAACATGGAAACAGACCATTCGGTCCAACTTGTCCATGCCGACCAGATATCCCAATCTGACCAAGTCCCATTTGCCAGCATTTAGCCCATATCCCTCTAAACCCTTCCTATTCATGTACCCATCCAGCTGCCTTTTAAATGTTGTAATTGTACCAGCCCCCACCACTTCCTCTAACAGCTCATTCCATACATGCGCCACCGTCTGCATGAAAATGTCACACCTCAGGTCCCTTTTAAATCTTTCCCCTCTCACCTTAAACCTATGCCCTCTAGTTTTAGACTCCCTCATCCTAGAAAAAAGACCTTGACTGTTCACGCCATCCATGCCCCTCATGATTTTATAAACGTCTCTAAGTGTCATTCACAAATCTGGAAATTTAGCTCTGCACACCATGGTTAGGTCATTGATATATAGCAAGAGAAATATACAGTAGTAGTGTTTATACTGTAGATAACTTCATTTTCCTAAATGTCTGCAATTATATAAAACTCTAAGAAATAACTTAATATTAATTGCAATTATAAATGCATTTAACTTCTCTATGATTTCTCTGACATTTAGTCTATTTTACATTTACAACCAGCGATTGGTCTTCCCAGCACCTAAAATCGCCAGAATATTACCACCAGAGACCGGCGTTCTGATCCAGCTGGGCAGTGCTGGGGTTTATGGTCCAAATTAGCCTTCTTCTGTCCTTCTTACAGTGGACTCTGCTACTCCTTCCTGGTTTGTACATTTTCTCATCTATGTTTATCTCCTTAATCAATCCTAGCAGTAGCGCATTATACACTCTTCAGTCTTTATGTAAAGAACTTGATAAAAAAGCTCATCCAGTCTTTCTTGATTGTTATTGATCAAAGATTGGCCTGATCTTCCAATCCTCCACACTGCGAATGATAATCTGCAGACACTTGAGGTCTTCCCCCAACAGAGTACAAAGCCAAATGGACTGTGCTTTGAAGCACCATCTATAACAATAAGATAATAATAATCTATAATACCGCCCTTTCAACATATGAAGTGGAAGAGTGGAAAATGCTGACTGGTTTGAATCTAGCATGCTGTGTGGATCTACAGAGTGAGAAGACTCGAAGTGCAATGAGCAGACCGCTAGGTGGCGCACCAATCACTGGTTACAACTTTACTGGAATACGCAGAGGATTCTCTCTCTATGTTAGGGATATGTACGAAGGGCTCAAAAAGGCAACAGGTCCATCAGTGAAGAAAACAGTTCCATTTAAAAGGCAGCAAAAGTGATCAGTTACTGCAATAAATAATTTGAGTGTCACATTACATCAAGTTGTAATCTATGGAGGAAATTGTCACCAAGGTACCTCTAGTATGCCTTAGAAATAGTAGGAACTGCAGATGCTGGAGAATCTGAGACAACAAGGTGTAGAGCTGGATGAACACCGCAGGCCAAGCAGCATCATAGGAGCAGAAAGGCTGACGTTTCGGGCCTAGACCTTTCTGATGAAGGGTCTAGGCCCGAAACGTTAGCCTTTCTGCTCCTATGATACCTCTAGTATGCCTGTTTGTCATGGCACAACTGAACCCCTGAGCAAAGCTATTGACTCACTTTCCATGGTCAAAGCTCAAGGTAATGATGCTCCATGGCCTGAACCCATCAAGCTTGGGAAAGTGGCACTCCTGCAGAATTTGCACAACCTTCTATGTCTTGGCTCGAGGGAGGACGCAGTGTCTCAGGATATAGAAAGAATGTGACAATGTAAAGCGATCACAGCTAATCACGGAGGCAGCTTCTTGATAGGAATTGTGAGAAAATTATTTGCCCATGTTGCCCTTGGCAGACTGGCTGAACACATCTACTCCTATTCTCATCTGCAAATGGCACGATCTTCCCCGCCTGGTGCCTAAAGAAAAATATCATGAGCAAAGGAGACCATTATGCATTGCCTTCACTGATCTCACCAAGACATTCCACATGTGAAAAACTGGCTCTCTGCAGAAGTTGTTTAATGTTATCTCCCCTTTCTGTGATAACACAATGTGCAGCACCGGAACACTTTGAGATCCCTAGTGGTGTCAAGCAAAGTTATGTTCTGACATATTTGTCCTCTATTTTCACTTATTCATGAAATGAGTATGTTGCTGACTAAACCAGCATTAATTCCCATCCCTAACTGTCCTGGAGAAGACAGTAGTGAGCTGACTGTTTCAGTCCATTTGGTGTAAGGACGCCCACAGTGCTGTTCAGGGGGGAATTCCAGCATTTTGACACTTGGAGGGGAAATCACAAGCGGGTGGTCCTCCCATGCATCTGCTGCACTGCTCCTTCTAAGTGTTAGCAATAGTAAGTTTTGGAGATACTGTTCATAGGATCCCTACAGTGTGGAAGCAGGCCATTCAGCCCATCAAGTCTACACTGACCCTCTGAAGGGCACCTCACCCAGACCAACCCCACACCCTACTTCTATAGCCCTGCTTTTCCCACAGCTGACCCACCGAGCCTGAATATCCCTGGACACAATGGCCAGTTTAGCATGGCCAATCCACCTAACCTGCACATCTTCAGACTGTGGGAGGAAACCCACGCAGACACAGGGAGAATGTGAAAACTCCACACAGCCAGTCACCCAAGGCTGGAATTGAACCCCGGTCCCTAATGCTGTGAGGCAGCAGTGCTAACCACTGAGCCACCGTGTGACCTATTCAAACAACTTTAGCAGATGAGACACACTGCTGCCACTGGGCATTGGTGATGTATAGAATATAATGTATGAGCAGAACTAACCCAGTCAGCCTATTGAGTCTGCTCTGTCATTCACTGAGATCATGCCTGATTTGATTACCCTCAAATCCACTTTCCTGCCTTTTTCACATAACCCTTGATCCCTTTATTGATTAAAAATCTATCTGAGCCTTGAATATACTTCATGTTTGCCAATCATGTTGTGCTGCTTTGTCCTAGATGGTGTCAAGCTTCTGAAATGTAGTTGAAGTTGGTGTCACCCAGACAAGAGGACAGCATTCTGTCACAATTCTGGTTTGTGCCTTGTAGATAGCAGACAGGCACTGGGGAGTCAGTAGGTTGGATACCAGCCATAGAGGGGATCAGGCACATAAGATGGATTTACTTTATCTATGACAATTTCAGGCTCATGCACTAAGAAAGAACAATATTATCAGTATGAATGAGCAGTGAAAATAGGGGGACGACATGCAGAGAATAATGGAAATGGTAACTGATTTATTAGCTACGTCACCAACACGATGACTAACACACATACATATATATAGTCATTAAAAATCTTAGCGCAATAGAAAAAGATTACTTTTATATTAAAAAATGCAACTTCTTCAGCTTTTCTTTTGAAAAAGCTCAGACACTATGGGCTTTTGGAATCATAATACAGAAAACGAGTTCCTCAGGATACAAATGATTACAAACAAGGAGTCCTCCTGACATTTGAACACCAACAGCCTTTCAGAGCTGCCTGCAGCATGGTATTGATCTCCTCGCATTCTATCTTCCAGTAATTCTCTTCCCCAAGTGCAATCCAGCCTGTGTTATGAAATAACATTTGAAATTATTCCAAAATTTTCTAAAATGCGGTATGCAATGTTTAATTCAATGCCACAATAACTTGTTTACCAACATCATTGGTGTGTCTTTAACATTTAAACCATTGCAGAAGGGCCTTTTATCTTTAGTGACTCTGAGACTTTTGTTTAAATTGAAAAGGACGTATTCAGAGACCCTACTTCAACTTAGCCATTTGGTGCCCAGAAATAGAAATAAAAAAGATGCCGCAATTACTAATTTCTAAAACTAGGGGCTATGCATTTAAGGTAAGAAGGAGGAGATGTGAGGAGCAAGTCTTTTGCACAGAGAGTGGTAGGACTCTGGAATCTGCTGATTCAGAGGGGTGGTGTTGGAGGCAGATATGACAGGGCTGTTTAAGGGATTTTTAGATAAGCACATGAATGTGCAAGGAATGGTGAGATATGGGCCAAGGACAGGCAGAAGGGATTAGTTTAAGTTGGCATCATGTTCAGCACAACATCGTGGGCCAAAGGACCTGTTCCTGTGCTGTTCTATGTTCTTTGTACACAGCGTCTCTTGTAGCCTCTGTGGAAAGAGAAACAGAGTTAGCAGCGACCAGAGGCTATCAACATGAAATGTTAACTCTCTTTCTCTCTCTGTAGATGCTGCCTGACCTGGTGAGTAATTCTAAAATTTGTCTATTTTTGTCTCAGGTTTCCAGCATCTGCAGCTGTTTGCTTTTCCACGGTGCCCGGTTGGTTTGGACGGGTGAAGTTCTCTAACTGAAGACAAAAATTCCCCCATTTCTCCCTGTTGCGGAAACATTTTGCCTTTCCTGGACCCACACCAAACAATGACCCGGCTAAGATCAACAACTACAATGCCACCAAAATGACCCATATCAAGGGGTTGAGAGAGAGAGATTCAGTTTGCTAACGTGAAAGCGCACACACATGCAGCGCTAGCCTTGGCAAAAAAGAATACCAGTTTCAGTGACTGATCATGTGGATTCATTTCATAATTTTTTAAGAGGTGCTGTAGAGCGAGGCTCACTAACATCAAAGGTGAATCCCATGATTCTACTGACACGAAAAAGGCAGAGTGTCAGCTACAAACCTTTGATGTCAATAACCTCTCTGCTCTTCTGTGAATAGTATGGGGGAATCTATTGTCTGTAGGTTAGAGTGAATGCAGAGACAAGGCTGACAATGATAATATTTGAAATTATTCCAATATTTTCTAAAATGTGGTATGCAATCACTTTGTAATTATTTTTAAAAGACACCACACTCAATAACCCAAAGCCGATTTCAGTCAGTCAGAGTGTACGAAATATTAATGAATGCGGCACTGGTTCAGTCAGGTGAAACTGTCTCACCAACTTTAGGTCCTTCTGCTTTAGGAAATGCTTTCCAACGCTATCCTGCCCACTGAAATCTTTCAGAGTCTGGATTTCACTTTTTGCCTTGTCAGCACTGAAAAAAAAGCAATAATAAAAGGTGATTAAAGATTTAATTGCATCTACCATGTCCCATGTGGTCTAGGCTCGCCAGAACTCTATCCTATCATCTGGCTCCTTGGGTTTAGAGCAAACCAGGCTGAGTGAAAATAAACTTCTGTGATACTGAGGGGGTCACAGTTTGCAAAAACTAAATCTGGCGCAAGGCAAGCAAGTTGCATCTCATTTACACTGCACGGCCACAAACATTATTTTTGGGTTTTGTGGAGAGGGGAATGGGGGAGCGAGATGGTGACAAAGGGTGAGGTCCACAGCTTCTAGGATATTAGGCTTCAGGCATCTTCCAGTGGAGCTGACACCTGCTGGTTCTGTGCAATCTACAAGGAGCTTGGTGCTGGTGTCACAGTGAACCTTAAGGGCTAACAGCTGGGTCAGGGTCAGCTCGAGGATCTGTTGGCGGTGAGGAAATGGAGAGCCAGTGATTGGAATTCTGAGGGACCACAGAGGCAGGGCCTAAGCTGCATATCCCAAGGATCTGTGTTTTTGATTGCTGGCTGGGTATTGGGATTTAGTGTCAGGATTTGAAGGGATAGGAAGGAGCTGAAATTTCTGGCTCACGTTGGGAGGATTGGTCATGGGGAGAGCGAGTCTCAGCTTTGGGGAAGGAAATAGACCAATCAGGACCTGCAATATGGGATTATGTGGGACAATGCAGGTGACTCATAGCTCCATATTCAATGATCTACCTCAGGGGTGTTGGCTCTTCAGGCTAAAATAGTCTTGGAGAGGGAACTTAAAATGGACAGCGCCAAATAAAATGCGCCAAGATCTTTTACATTTCCTGACATATAATATAAATGGAGTAGTCTAGCTGTATCACCCAGGAGGGGCAAACACAGAGATAGACTGACCCCACAGTGAGAGACAATATAACCATCTCACTGATATTGAAGTAAATATCTGTTTATGTAAAAGTGCTATTAAAAGTACATGCAATGCTTTCGTACTATGAATGTTATTGAAGGACAGCATATTTCTTGGTGCATGTTGCATTTAAGTTTATGGTCAGATGGCCTTGTGACATACTGGGTGCTATTCCTGACTCTGAGCCTGAAGTCCCCCCCTAGGACTTGATGGGGATTGAAAGCATGTTCAGAATATAGCCAAAACTGTTAAGTACCAACGTCTAGGTCCAGGGCAGTGAGGTACATCAGGGGCCTATAACCGGACCTGCCACTGGGGCACCTCTTTGTTGGGGACAGGGGTGATAGCACATGCCTCAGTCCAGGGGCATGCCCCAGGCTGCCTGGTTACTGTTATGGTGCTGAACAACTTTTGAACATACTCCAATGGCAGCTGGGAGCAGCTGGGGAGATTCCTGTTCAATTGTGTTGGTTCATCTACCATATCATCTATGGAGAGGAGATGGCCTAGTGATATTATTGCTGGGCTTTTAATCCAGAGACCCAGCTAATGTTCTGGGGACCAGGGTTCAAATCCCACCATGGCAGATGATGAAATTTGAATTTAATAAAAGAAAATCTGGAATTAAAATTCCAATGATGACCATGAAATCATTGCCCATTGTCAGAAAAACCCATCTGGTTCACTGATGTCCTTTAGGGAAGGAAACTGCCATCCTTACCTGGGCTGGCCTACATGTGACTCCAGGCCCACAGCAATGTGGTTGACTCTTAACTACCCTCTGGGCAATTAGGGATGGGCAATAAATACTGCCTAGCCAGTGACATCCTCATCCTATTAATGAACTTTAAAAAACGCTATAGCTTGTATATAAAAGTGCTTGTTGCCTTAGCAACTCAGGCTCCCTGAGTGAACGGTATCACCCATAAGCCCAGGTTTACCAACTTGGGTCCTTAGGCAGGGCTTGAAGTTTTGATCTTAAGGACAAGAGATTAAGTCACAGTTATAATGGTCGGATTGACCCAGCTTTATCTAGAGAATACAAAAGTCACTCCAAAATAATGCATTTTATCATCTTGTAGCATCTTAAAATCTCTCTTCAGATTGATCATGACAACCACACTCCAAAGTCGACTAAACATTAAAAATCTTTTTGAACGTTCACCACAAGCTGCTCCATTAGGGTTTACTGACCCTAATGCTGTCTGCACTGTCCTTCCCTTCGTATTGAATCTGACAGCTCGACATGTGGACTCTGAGATAGCGTAGGGACCGTTTGGGGATGTGGAGGGATTGGGGAAATGGAATACGCTAATGGTAGGTGGTTGGTGCACGGGAAAAAGAATGACACATTCAAACAGAAAATACGCAAAAGTTTTTATCACTGCACTTACATCTTAATTCCACCGGCAGAATGGTTTTCAGTTCCAATGGTCACGTTCCTATTTCCTAAGGGTTAAAAAGATATAAATACAGTATAATAGAAACACAGCAACTAGATGTAGGCCATTCTGAGCCTGCTCCACTACTCATTATGACCAATGCTGATGCTATATCGGAAACCCGTATTCCCACTTCCTCCCCATACCCCTCGATGCCTTTAAAATCGAGAAGACAAAGCTCAATAAAAGACTTGTCCACAGTTATAGTTCTCAAGGTGACTAGAAGACAACTTTGCATCCTTTCAGCTATAGGAAAATAGATTCATCATTTCACAAACCTACAAGTCTGCCACTGACCCATTCATGACTGAAGGTCTCCCACTCTCAGATCCTGTTCCACACAGTTACTGGTCTTACTGTTTCATCATCCTGTGTCCCCATTGCCCCACATCCTGAAATCCTCAATGCTTCAGCATCCAGCTCCCCATCTCCTTATGGGCCTGCAAATTTGCAGCACCACATTCTGAAAGAATTATCTATACCTCGACCTTCTAACCCACAGACCAACAGTGTATTTATTCATATTTTGAGAATCATACTGTGAATGCTGAAATCCATCACTAAACAACCTGTTTATATTAAGATTCATTTAATTGCTTTAAGGCCACTGGAATTATCAGGAATGACAAGCTTGATATTGGCACAAGACAGCTGGAAACATCCTGCTCTGTGCAGAACACCAAGTACACACAGATCGAATAACCAGTTTGTGTCTTTAACATGAGGCATGCTCAGAATTCCTTATTACAGCAAACTATTCTCTGTAACAGGTCAGGTCCATGTCATAGCGCAGGGTTAATTCTTCAGTGTGTGGCCTGAATAAAGTGATTAATTCTGAACAATTGCAGTGGTGTTAGGGAGGGATTTCCAGGATTTTAACTCAGTGTAGTAAAGGAATGGTGCTGGAGCTCTGGATGGTGAGTGGCTTTGAAGGGAATTTGCAGCAGGCGGTGTTCCAGTGCATCTGCTGCTTGTCTTTCTCGGTAATAGAGTTAGTGAGTTTGGAAGATGCGGGTGAGGAGTCTTGGTGAGTTGTTTCAGTGTATGCTGTAGATGGTACACACTGCAGCCACTGTGTGCCTGTGGTGGAGGAAGGGGATGCTGAAGGTAATGGAGTTCCAGTCAAGTGGGTTGCTTGGTGACAGTGTCAAACTTCTGCTCCTATGATGCTGCTTGGCCTGCTGTGTTCATCCAGCCCTGCACCTTGTTGTCTCAGATTCTCCAGTATCTGCAGTTCCTACTATCTCTGTGTCAAACTTCTTCTGGGTTTTTACAGCTACATCCATCCAGTCAGATGGAAGTATTCCATCACACTCCTAACTTATGCCTTTTAGATGGTGGATGGGCTTTGAGGTTTTAGGAGGTGAGTTCTCAGCCTCTGACCTGCTCTTGTAGGCACTGTATTTATACGGTTAACCTAGTTCACTTTCTGGTCAATGCTAGCCCCCAGGTTATTGATAGTGGACGTCTCAGTGATGATAATTCCATTAGATGGGGGAGGCAAGATGGTTGGCGTCTCTCTTGTTGGAGATGGTCAATTCCTGGCACTTGTGCAGCCCAACTGTGAATAGGCACTGATCAGCCAAGCCTGAATGTCACCCAGATCTTTCTGAATTTGGACACAGACTGCCTCAGTAGGTGAGGAGCGGTAAATGGTGCTGAACGTCGTTAATCATCACTGAATATCTCCACTTGGACCTGTGGAAGGTCATTGGTGAAGCAGCTAAAGGTGGTTGGGCCTTAGACCCTGTGGCTACATTGCGTCAATCAGAGTGGAACCAAATGAGAACAGCCCCACCCAAAGTGAAGAGACCTCAGAGAGGCAGATATCAACAAATGTGTCAAATGATGCAGAGAAGGACAGGAACAGCAAGTTATTTTTGTCACGAAGAAATGGTTAATTATGATACTGAATTGCTCTTTCTTCATGAAGTGTTATGGGTGGGACCAGGCCCCCACCTCAAAATATTTTAAGAAGGTAGCCTAGATCCTAACTTTTTCTTATTCTAAAGGTAAATGTCAAATCCTGTGTTCCAGATGCAATTCAATGGGTCAAGCTACCCAACATTCAGCAAAAACACAATTTACTTAAACACTATATTTAAAATATAAACAAAAGAAAGAAGAACTTAGAATAACTTAAGTTTATTGGAAAACTTAACTGAATAATAGATACAGTAGCTATCACTAATTAACTGTTCCAATACAATAACATCCCATAAACACACCCCTTGGCAAAAAATGCAAATTCAGACACAGCCTCTCACATGCAGTTCTCCAATCCAGGAGGAAAAAACATCAAGAGAAAGTTCAGAGAGAGTAGCAGCCAGGAGGCATTCACTGAAGCTTCCGATTCTGTTCAGACCCCAAATAGCTTCTGATGCTACTGAAAAACAGAAACCCAGAAATCAAGTTCTGTGAGAGCTGGCCACACCCATTCAGGCTGTTAAACAAAACCTCAAGGCCTCCCAAGCTGTTTACTCAAGTGGTTTCGGTAGACTGCTTGACGTCTCTGCCTAAGTCAGTACAGGAACGGAACCTATGGTTCAACATTATTAAGCACCACATGCTAACCACATGAGCTAATTGACCCTACATCAGAACATAGACACAAGTTCTTGAACCAAACTCAATTATGACCTTTAGGAGAATGTTGGAGATGTTCTTTACTCTGATTCCAATTCTCAGAAATTGTCCTGCTTCACAGAGTGAGCAGGAAACTATGTGACGATAGAACAGAGGGCTTTCTGAAATCAGCTCTCAGTTCCCAAATGATTAATGCTATTGTGGAAACAGCTCAGAAACAATCTAACCCTTTTCTTAAAACATACGGATAATGTCACCAAGGATCTGAACCCATTTCAGAAAACAGAGGAACTTTTGTGGAGAGAAATCAGAGTTAACCTTTTGGGTCCAGTGACCCTTCCTCAGGGCTAGCAGGGGTCACTGGACCCAAAATGTTAACTCTGCTTTCTCTCCACAGACACTGCCAGACCTGATGAGCTTTTCCAGCAACTTCTATTTCTGATTTCCAGCATTCACAGTTCTTTTGGTTTTTAGATGAACAGTTGATATGGTTTAATTATTCCCCAAGAGTAAGGCTTTATCGTGTGCATCAAACGGACTCAGTTACAGCATTTGGTTACCTGCTGGCTTTCCCAACTGCTTCTCTCTGACCAACTCTGATACTGCCGCTCTCTCGACTTTCCCTGCCAATGTCAAGTGGCCTGTTCTGTATTGCAAACCCTGCATTTTCCAGTGTTATTTTGTGTTTCTACATTTCTTGCTCGGATGAGCACTACTTTGTTTTCCATTGCATTCTTGCCTTTCCGAATGGTTCATTCATAAACTTATTCTTACCTTCCTCTTCAGCTTTAGCAGAGTTACTGTTGAGTTGCTCTTTCTCAGAAACACCAAGGGATGCCGCATTTTCACTGTTGTGTAGAAGAGGTGACCAGCTGCCAACACTTAATGCACTCCACTCCTTGGCCAGAAGCAGACCACCCTCTCCGTGCTGATGTTTTAAGGACCTCCCTCGCAGTATAGGGACAGAAGATGCACTTTCCTTTGGCTGCTCAGTGGGAGCTGATTTCCTTGGTCTGGACCACATTCGTCCGAGCAGCTTAACGGTGTTCTGTCTTGACCGACGCTGAGATACTTTCCTCACATTACTGCTCAAGTTCGTCTTCTCTTCGGGAAAAGATTTCATGTTGTTGTTCTTCTGTTGGAAATTAAAAGTTGGCAAAGTGTGTTACAATAGCCAGGGTGGGGGGGGCGAGGGGGGAGGTGGTTAGACCAAATGCAGGTGGATCAGAGAGAACAAAGTTGGGATGGAAGAAGGGATGAGAAGAATGAGGAGTACAAACATCGCAACTTGGAGGGGATGCAGGCGATCACAAACACAAACAGAAATCAGCCTGTGACAGTCTAAACCCAGGACTTGGCTGTACTGGTAAGAAACTGAAGGAGAAATTGAGTGCAGTGGTGCCCAGTTTTGGGCACTATGGTGCCACTCAGAACTCCAAATAGTCATCGGTGTCACACGAACAGACTAGTGGGTCATATAGCACACTGGGTGCCATATTAATACAGTGCTACTGTTCACACCACTGTACACAATCAGCATGTATTGCTGATTTAATGCCAGAAGTGCCACTTTGGAGCCCAATGCTCCAGCTAATGCATTCTGCTAACTTCCTGCTAACTTCCATTGCTGAGCACAAGTTCAGAAGCTGAAAAGACCTCCTGCCCGAGCTCTTCACTAATGCTACTTAAAGGGATCATCATCTGCTTACAGATTAGTAGCTGGTTCATTTCTTCGCCTGTTGCTATGATTTTACAAGTAATGGGTGCTTCCTAGAGCTGTTTTGAAGTTTACAAGGAGTGGTGTAGCTGCTTCTGACTTGAAGGCTTCTGCAGGAATTAGTTAGCCCCAGTCATAGGGCTTGTCGGTAGGAATTCCCTTTAGAATACAGCTTGAAGTAAAGATTGAGCAGAGGTCACACTGAGCAGGATAAGTTGCTGGAAGAGGGAAGCAAGGGAGAAAAACTTGCAGCAGAATGACGTATCCACTCAGGGATGTTTGGGCAGTGATTCAACAAGAAGACTGGGCAGGATCTCATGCCCTCCATCGTATCAAGTTTGATGGGTGGGCCAGGGGGATGGCATTTGATGAGACAGGACTTTGGAAGGGGGCACCCTACAACCTTCTGACCTCCATGTCGACTTCGTCTGTGTCAGAGAAGACAGTGTCCTTGACCAGCCTTCCTGCCTCACCAACTGGGTCTTCCCCTGGCATTACTGGTGTTACCCCAGCGGTGGGCAGGTGGTCACACTGTAGGGAACACGGCAAACAAACCCGGGTTTACCAGCTCCCTGAACCCAGTGCCAGATTGAGGCCCTGGCCTTGGGAAGGTTTGGGGAGGGGGGGGTGGTGCTGGTGGTGGTGGGAGAGGGTGGTACAGAGGGGAACCTGATGACAGCCGATCCCTGCCCGTGCTGCCCACCTTCTCTCCAATGGCCCCCTTCCTACCCCCTAGCATTCTGTCGCGCCTGGGTGCACCCATGATGCAAAGCCTCTGATGGGTCTTGTGCCACCGATAGCCACCATCTGTTTGGTGGGGCTCAAGTACAGAGCAGTAGCTGATGGCTTCCAATGGGTAAGCACTTGTTGGTGGATGGGGCTCCTGGTGTGTAGTAAACATCCAGGGCTGTGAAAACCCAGATGAAAATGTGGTCAAACTGGCCACTGAAACTCTGAAACAACGCTTTCACTGCCTGGACCCTCTGAGGCAGTCCTGCAGCACTCATTGGGGCAAAGCCCTTGCTGTTCTGCTGCGCTACTTGGTCACCCCAAGGGGACAATCCCTACCCCCCAGCAAAGTGACCACTAGCCAGGGGAAAGAGGAAGGGAGAAGGTCATTTAGACAAGCCTTTGCAGCCTCTGGCTGTCTGTAGCATCTCTGAGTGCGATACTGGGAACTGCACCTCCAACTCCCCAATCACTATCCAGTCCCAAACGTACCTTCCCTCTGTTACTGACCATTGCTGCCATCATTTGTCCTCAACGCAAAAAATAAAACCCACCACAAACTGAGCATCCCAAATCAGCTGTAGAAATGGAATCATGCCGTAAACAAATACAAACCAATCACGGTTGTACATTCCTGTAATGTCAAAGTCCCTTTGTCTGGTGCTCCCGTGCAATGTTGTCCCAGGGGCTGTAACACAATGTGACAACCCATTGTCCCCATGGTGATGGCCCATTGTCCCCATGGTGATGGCCCATTGTCCCCATGGTGACAGCCTGTTGTCTCCATGGTTGGATGATTGCTTTGTAATGAACAGCAACACCGACAGTGTGGGTTCAGTTCCCCTGCTGGCTGAGGTTACCATAAAGAACTCTCCTTCTCCCCCTGCCTGAGGTGTGGTGACCCTCAGTTTAAACCATCACCAGTCAGGTCTCTCTAGTGAGACAGCAGCTCTATGCTGCAAAATGTTTGCCAGGTATGGTTCTCATGACTGAACAGCAGCCAGTGAAATGCAAGTACCTTAATGTTTGTTGCCTTCCTTATTTACTTTACACTTACACCAGTGCATCATCCAGAGCCCACTCATTCCCCTCTCATGCCAAGCCTCACTATTTCCCAGGTCCAGATCTGTTTATACACAGCTCTCAACACATTCTTCAGTGCACCTCCCATTTCAGAGTTGCATGGTCAATAAAGTGGTGCTAACTGCTTGTTCATCAGGGGAAGAGTTTTGGGCTCCATGGCACAAGGGATCCCAGGAAATGTAGAAGGGATTTGAGAGGGATGACTAAGGTTGAAAGGTAATTAAACATCTTTAGAACAGTATTGGTTGCCATATTGTTCAGAATCACAAAACCATAGAGTTGTTACAAGTACAGAAGGAGGCCATTCTCCTTCTTGGCTGTGTGCTAGCCCTCCGAAGAAGCAATTTACTTTGTGTCACTCCCCTGCCTTCTCCTCATAACCCCACACATTCTACCTTTTCAGATCGATTGAATCAGCCTCTACCAACTTTCATTCTTGATCCTAAGCCACTCATTGCGTGAAAACATTTTCTCCGTTGCAGAGGTCTTGTTGATGGCTGATCACCATCATGGAAGCCCAGCCTGACAGTGCAGCCCTGAGGCCTGAGGCCTGCTTAAAAGTGCTGCCTCTGCCCCTGGTGATGGGTCAGGCTAGGGAACAAGATCACAGCAGGCCTGACCATCCCGAGCAGGCAAGTGGCCCAGGCCAGGCAACCCAAGGAGTGGACTGCACCCGACATGTGCTACTTACACTCAGCATGGGGTTCGGGGGGGGGTTGCGAATGGGAGTCTGCCATTTCTTATACTTACAAAACACTGAGATGACATCTCACAAAGTCTGCACTATGTGACACCAACAATGCTGTAAGAAGAATCATATTCCAAAGTACCAGTCCACAGCACATTTGTAGACGAGATAACAAGGTGTAGAGCTGGATG